TCTTCTATCTTCTTTCTTCGGTCTTCTATCTTCTTTCTTCGATCTTCTATCTTCGGTCTTCTGCCTTCTGCCTTCATCTTCTGTCTTCTTCCTTCTGTCTTCTGTCTTCTTCCTTCTGTCTTCGTCTTCTATCTTCTTCCTTCTGTCTTCGTCTTCTATCTTCTTTCTTCGTCTTCTGTCTTCTATCTTCTATCTTCGTCTTCTGTCTTCTTCCTTCTGTCTTCTTCTTCTATCTTCCTTCTTCATCTTCTGTCTTCGTCTTTTTTCTTCTTTCTTCGTCTATCTGTCTTCTTTCTTCTTCCTTCGTTTCTATCTTCTTCCTTCTGTCTTCTTTCCTTCTGTTCTGTCTTCTGTTTTCTTCGTTTTCCTCGTCTTCTTCGTCTTCTTCGTCTTCTTCGTCTTCTTTCTTCTTTTTCTACTACCCTTTATTCCGAACCGCTCTAAAATTATACATGTTACCGTTCTACAAAGAAGTCACACGATATACCGTTCCAAGTTCCAAGAAGTCGTCGTGTTGGCTTGCTTCCGTAAACCTAAGCTAGAAAATAAAAAAGTCACGAGGAGTAAGTAACATGACAAGAACCGTTCTAAAGTCAAGCAAGTTAAACACAACCACCGCTCTTCGCGTCCGTTCCAAGAAGTCGTAGTAAAGCAAAAATAATAAGTTAGAAAAGGTAACTAAAAAAAAGCAATTTATTTTATCATGACGAGGCTACCATAAAAATCTACCCCTATTTGTTTTTATTATTAATCATCAAAAATCATACTACACGTATACAGGCAGATCGTATGATGGGCGAGAGTACTAACTATATAATAAACTTGAATATTCTACCCCGTAGTCATCACTGCATTAATTTTTTTTCACGATCTATGACATATTAATTGGCGTGAATTACAAAAAACAATTACTTTGGCCAATGAAATGATTATTCTTATGAATATGCTTAATTTGGATTTAATGTTTCAGGTAGAACCATATATCACAACCCCATTCAAAAAATTATCAAATCTGCTGCAGCGGCAGCATATCAAATTGATGCTAATCGCGGGGTTATTTCGAGGTTGTTTAAAGTTTTGAAAGAGAAGAAAAAAGAATGGTGCAGTGTCGATTATTCTATTACTCAAAGTACTTTGGAGAATGTATTTTTGAGGTATTCATCTTGCGATTTGTATTGTTTATTCTTTTAACTGATACTTGCATTTTATTAATTAAATATACATATGTTGTTATAAAGAATGTGAAAGGGGCTGATGATATTTAAATCTTCAAAGGTCAATTTTGGGAGTTACGTTATATATTTTTTCATTTAATTTCGTTTCGCTATAAATCAAAATGGACATTAAAAATCCAAGAGTTTAATTTTATTATATTGTGTAAAAATTTCAATATATAGAGTAAATTTTTTAAATTCACCGCACATTTCCTTTAATTTTTTTCGCTTAGATAATAATTTTTTAATGACTTTGAAATGTTTTTTAATTCAAATATAAAAATTAATTTTTGAATTTTCTCACAAATGTAATTACAAGAACATAATAAGTCTTTCGGTACATGCACAAATTAAATCATTTTTGCTATTATTACAGTTATTAGAATGCCACGCAAGTAAAGCAAAGATTTCTATTGAGAAGCAATTTTTGATGAAACAATTCAATTTTATATGTTGTATGTTCACGAATGGTATCTGTTATTAAATTCTTGTTAAAATGGATACAGTGCTTGTCTATTTTTTAAATTTCCCGATAAATTTGTATTCAGGAAAAAAATAGTGTGAATATTCGATACGTAATGCAGAATTCACCATGGTGTCGAACTCATTATAATAAATTCTAATTTGCGTTGTCATTATTATTGTTAATTTTTTATAACTAATCCTTTGTTATTATAATAATTATTGGTATTATTGCAAGCTAATTTTATAAACAATATTCGATATTTACATAGAAAGAGTCATCTTAAAAATTTCCGAACTTACGAATTATGCATTGCGAAATCTATTAAGTTACTTTATTACCGCTACACTCTTTGATAAGGACACTGGATTAGAGAGAACAATGGAACCTTAAAACAGAAT